GACCTGCTGGGCTCCAGAGATCCTTCCGCCTCAGCCTTCCAAGTAGCTGGAACTACAAGCCCGGCTAATTTTTGATCTATTGTAGAGACGAGGTCTCACCAAGTCGCTCGGGTGGGTCTCAAACCTGCGGGCTCAGGCAATCCACTCTTCTTGGCTTCCCAAAGTGCTGGGATTATAGGCTGAGCCACCGAGCCCGGCCTATAATTCTTGATTAAAACAATTCTTGGTACCCATAAAACAGCCCTCGATAAATAAGTGTTGAATTAATGAATAAATGTATTCAACACACATTCACTGGGCACTGATTGTGTGCTCTGGGGTCATAGTGTGTTGCCCTAGACACCAAGGTGCTAACAAGTTCAAAGACAAGGGAGGGGGCTGGGCACAGTGGTTCAAGCCTGTAATCCCAGCACTTTGAGAGGCCAAGGCCACAGAATTGCCAGAGCCCAGGAGTTCGAGACCAGCCCAGGCAACACCTCATCTCTACAATAAATCAAAAAATCAGCCGAGCGTGGTGGCGTGTGCCTGTAGTCCAAGTTACTCTGAAGGCTGACTGTCTGAGTCCAACATGCTGAAGCTGCGGTCAGCCTGGGCGACAGGGTGAGACTCTGACTAAAACACAAACACACACACACAACACAACACAAAGACAAGGGAGGGAGTGGGGAGAGAGATGAGGAGACCAATAAGCCCCCCTGACCCAGGCGGTATTCCAGTGAGTCTTGAAGTGAGAGAACCTGTGGACTCTGGGGAGTTGTGGGGAACAGGTGCACTCCAGGTAAAAGCAACTGACAAGGAAATTCCCAAAAACAAGGACAGCAGAGGCAGCAGGGACTCTCTAGCCTGGAAGTCCTGGCCCAAGTCTCCTCTCTACCCACTGGCTTCACCTTGTGTTCCATTAACATGGTGAAAGTAACTGAGTGAACTTTCTAAGCAGAGATGGGCACAGAGGTTTCTGCCTAGCCAGACACAGCAGGTCACGCCTGTAACATCAACACTTTGGGAGGCTGAAGCAGAACGATCTCCTGATGCCAAGAGATCAAGAACAGCCTGGGCAACATAGCGAGACCTCGTTTCTACAAAAAGTAAAACAATAATCTGGGCTTGGTGGCACACACCTGTAATCCCAGCTAATCAAAAGGCTGAAGTGGGAGGATTGCTTAAATCCAGGAGTTTGAAGCTGCCATGAACCTTGATCGTGCCACTGCACTCCAGCCTGGACAACACAGTGAGACCCTACCTCAGAAAAAAAAGGCTTCTTCCTAAGGATGCACATCAAAATACTGCTTCTCCTAAAAACATTAGAAACAGCCTTAGCCAGGCTTGGGGGCTCACGCCTGTAGTCCTAGCACTTTGGGAGGCAGAAGCAAGAGGATTGCCTGAGTCCAAGGGTTCGAGATCTGCCTGGGCAACTTGGCAAGACCTCATCTCTACAATAAATAAAAAAATTAGCCGGGCGTGGTGGTGTCTGCCTCTAGCTCCAGCTACTTGGAAGGCTGAGATGGAAGGATCGCCTGAGTCCAGTAGGTCGAGGCTGCGGTGGCTGTGAGTGTGCCACTGCACTCCAGCCTGAGCGACAGAGAGAGACTCTGACTCCAAAAGAAAGCAACCTTATTGCCTATAGTCATTTTAAGCATGTCCATGAATATCTTTATACCTCTTCAATTAAGAAGAGAGGTCTAAGCACCCTCCTCTTGCAACTGGACAGACTTATGACTGCTTTGATAGACGGCATATGTCGGAATGACTCTAAGTGACTTCCAAGGTCAGGTCAGAGTAGACCATGTGACTCCCACTTGGTTCTCTTGAAACACTGGCTTTGAAGTCCTGAGCTGACACATAAGAGGTGTCTGACTACCTGAGGCGGCCACATTGTGAGGAAACAGTCGAGCACAGCAACTAACCATTCCCCATCTAGAACTTCTCCTACCTCCCGCAGATACAGCATCCCAGAGGGCCAGCTCCAAGGCAGAAGGAAGCAGACAACTCCACAACTCGGCATCTGCTCCTCCAGATCAAGAGATCCAGGAATAGACAGTTTGGGAAAGCGTTGGGGGAGGGGAGGTAAC